GTGCTATAGGATTTTTCGTCGGAGGTAAGAAGACCACCAAAGCGAATGGGGCCACAAGATTCATTCCTGGCTCGCATCTATGGAAGCACGACACTCCACCAGCAGAAGACTTGTGCGTCTATGCCGAGTTGGAACCTGGGGATGGCTTCATCATGCTTGCATCCTGCTATCACGGTGGCTCCGCAAACACGACAACGAATCAAGAGCGTTTGGTTTACAGTTGTTTTATGACAAAGGGATATCTCAGACAAGTACTGAATGCTCCATACTGAACCCCGAACTTTTGCTGCAGACTGACATTGTTGCGAACAGGAAGAGAACCAGTATCTGAACAATTCGCCCGAAGTACTAGCCTCGCTCTACGATGACGAGATGCTGAAGCTCATTGGTTACAATCTCAGCGCACCATTCTTAGGCTGGATCAAAGAAGGACATCCTTTGGCTGCTCTTGGTAGGGCACAGCCTCTGGGAGATATGTACTAGACACGCCGAGTGCTTCTCTCTATCGTCGATGAAGAGGCTTCAGAGACAGTTTGGGGACCTGGCCGCAAAGTCAATCTATAAAGCTCTGCTGCTCCCTTCTCCTGCTTCTTCTGCGTCTGCCAAAAACTCATCTATCGTCCTGAATGTGAGCCCGTTGAAATACTTTTCTCGCTGCCTCGTCAATTTTTCCTGAGGCAGGAGGCCTGCGCCTGAAATGCTCCAAAGTTCATACTGCGCAGCTATGACGTCGTCCTTGCTGCTCGACGCATCAGCCTCCTGTTTCTCTATGACCTCTTTAGACCTATGGCTGACTCTCAGCGCTGTGCCCCTGGCTTTGAATTTCTCGGCGACAGCATTCCAGGTTGTTGTCTCGCCGCAGACGTAGATGGTCTGTTCCCAGGTCGGAAATTCAAAGAGACGGACAATAGCCTTGGCTGCATCCCGGACAGGAGTAAAACCAACCTTCTCGTTGCCAGTGCCGGGGATTCGGATAGTTCCAGCGGCCAGATCTACGGGATGGTTTTCGCCAATGTCTTTGATGTACCGATGCGATGCTGGAACAAGATAGTCGGTCAACCAGCCGAGATTGAACAATGTCCATCGTATCTCGGTCTGTTCGCGCAGCGCTTTCCGTACTGGCTCGTGGTTTGCATAATAGAAGGTGGGTTGGTCAGGATAGTCGTCCGTATTGCCGGCATACTCGGAGGGAATTAACGATTTGCACTTCGGAGATTGCTGGCAGGCCTCGAGAAGGGCAAGATGGGCGGTCGTGAAGCCCAAAGTATAGTCGAAAATGGCGGAGATAAGGCCGTCACAGTCAGACAAGGCCGAAGTCAGTGTGGCAACCGAAGTGTAGTCGACAGTGGCGAAGGTGATGTCCGACCGCATGAACCAAGCAGGTTGCGAGCGTGAAAGGACGACCACATCATGTCCGGCGAAGAGGAGCTCTTCGGTAAGGTACTTGGCCAAATCGCCAGCACCTGCGATAGCGATTTTCATTTCTTGTAATGTGCTTGCTGGTCAGAGAAAGGAGCGTCCTTGAATGCACACCTTTATTCAAGCAAGCTGTGCACACTCATGAAGCAATAAAATCACTGCGCATGTGTTCTGACATGGCATGACCGACCAGGACTATGCTACGGATTCCTTTATGGAGAGTTTGTGAATGTTAGCCCGCCTCTGTCGGACAAAGCGTTCGGCTGAACTGGTCGTTGTCGCCTACCACATTCGTCCAAGCCCAATCTGGTGTCGGCAGGCTTATCAGCTCCGACTCGGGTGGCGGTCTAAAAACACGCTGCAAAAGTATGTCGGAAGGGAACGACGCCAACTGCTCAGCATTTTTGAGCGCATTCGCTGCTTTGCGACCTCCACACATCATAAATAGCACTAAAAGATTCTATATAACATTGTTCAAAAGAGTATCCTACCACCATCATTACTCACTACAGCAGGCTTGACCCGCCGAACGGAAAGTTGTGCCATTCTGAGCAGCCACCCACGATGGCCAAGGTTTTCACCGTACCGGAGGTGGCGATGCATAACAAGAAAGAGGACCTCTTCATGATCATCCATGGCAAGGTTTACGACTGCACGGACTTCGCCGACAAACATCCGTGAGTTCCCCTGCATGTTATAGTAGACTCGACGGGCAGGCTACAAGACCTGAGGTGTTGACAACTGGCCGCCTCTTACAGTGCAGGGCATGAAATCCTTTTGGAAGTAGCCGGGAAAGAGGCCTCGGAAGCCTTTGAGGAAGTTGGGCACAGTGAAGACGCGAAGGCAATGCTTAAAGATCTTTTTGTTGGAGACTGCATCCCTCCGGTCAGTCAAAGTAACATGTCTCTAAAACTTCTCAGAGCTCGACATGCGCCAGTTCCTAATATCATGATGAAACTGATTTCTGACGATCTCTAGATCTCGTTGACTGTGAAGCGTGCATCGCACGGTAGCAATTTAGCTCGGCTTCGAAAGGAAATATGGTTAGGAGTCTTTCCTGTCGTGGTGCTGGGTGTTATCGGAGGGCTTTATGCACATAGATTATTTGGGAATGACCACGTATCAAGAACGTAAAAGGGCTTATTCACACATAATGTTATATATACTCTAGAAAGATTATACGTCATCTAATGAAACCGGCGGAGACAGTGGCGAAGATCCTAGCAGCTTGACTTCTGCTATGTATCATTCCATTGAGGAAGGAAGAAAGCAGCAGATAGATAGGTGCAACAATAGCCTCGTTTAATGATACTGTCTCAGGTTCCAGGTGATGCAGATAGTGACGAGAAGGAGGCTGCCATAGGCATAAAGTCGATCAAGCAGAAAAGTTATTACAGATGTACAACTATAAACATCTCAACAAGACGGCCTCTGACTATCATATCATGACTAGCTGCTACCAAACTCGGCAATCGACCACGCAAGGCAAGTAAAAGCAAGGGCAGCTGGTAGCGTGCGGACTCCACGGAGGGAAGTGCAATATGGGATATCCGCCAATCGCCAACAAAAGACTCCGCGGCGCATCCCCCGCACTATATCTGCATATCATTTTCTTGTTGTTCTTCCTCACCTCTACCTTTAATCCTCATAAGCAATATAGAAGAGGGACATGATCTATAACTCATCACAAGGAGACTTTATTTCACCACCTTCAATCTCCTCAATCTTTGGAACAAGATGCTTGCCCCGCAGCTCTCCTCTTAGCCATCCTGCCTCTAATCCAGAGTTCGAAAGGACAGATCTTCAGGAGGGAAAGTGCTCTTTTTGTCCTAAGCCTGCTAACTACGGAGCCTAATTTACTGCGTAATATCACCTGATTCCTCGGGCCCGAGGGGCCGGTAATCATAAGCGAGGTCTCAAGTTTCGGGTGGTAGACTGACGTCCAAGATCTGTTCATGTTCATCAAAACCGAACCGTCCTCAATTGATACGTGCTGCGAGAAAGACGTCAAGAAATCCTGGTCTTCTCTCGTGCCTTCAGTGTCTAATATGGCAGCGGACGTATCGCATATCTCGCACTCTCATCAGCCGCGAAAGCCTCGAAGAGAAAAGAAGCGTACGAAGCACTCGAAGACGTACTCTGGCTGCTGGACATGCCGCTCGCGTCATGTAAAATGCGATGAGACAAAGCCAAGCTGTCTGCGGTGCAAGCGTGCCACATTAGGTTGTGGTGGGTATGGCATCAAATTGGTTTGGGACGATGAAACTGATACATCAACGGAAAGGCGGTCCAACCGTCGCATCTTGTTTGACGAATTTGAGGATCGCATGCCCGCCCTCAGCTCAGAATATATCGAATGGGCAGTCGATTCGTTGGATGTATTTGAGAGCGCAGAAAGCTTGATTTTGGCACCATTCACAGTCTTCACTACATCTCGAACTTCAGATCGAACTTCAGACGTGAGGCTTGACACACATTCCCTTGAAGGAGAGACCTTGGACGCGCACATAGCGAAAGGCCAAAAACTCGTCCCGTCGGTTGAACCATGGACAAATCAGGTCTTGAGCAGATGTCGCGCGCCAGGAGCGACTCTAGAGCTAAAGAACGAAGATAAAATCATGGCCGGGGATTTGTGTGCTCCACGGCCTGTCACCATTCCCTTCTTTTACGTGGCTACTCATGAACAGCGGCAGCTTCTCCACTATTGGGCGACACACCTAAGCGGACTAATGCTACCTGTCGAAAGTATCACCAATCCTTTTCAGGTAATTTATATCCCCTTGGCTATGGTTTCCCCAAGCTCGCCCTCTGCTGGAACAGGTAGTAAGGCTTTACTACACGCTATTTGTGCTATCGCAGCTTTCTTTCGAGCACGTCATGAATCGCAGCCTGGCGACCTAAACAGCGTTGGTACTAAATATCATCGTCTGAGCCTTAACTGCTTACGAAGAGCTCTAATGACAAATGACCAAGATCAGAAGGAAGCCATCTTAGCGACGATAATCGCTCTATCTACACTTGAACTCATAATCGGCAATTCCTTCACCTGGCGTATACATATCGATGGTGGAAGGATATTCCTTGCAAATACTGCGTACCGGAAATCCAACAGCAACTGTCCAATATTGGTTCAGATATTTAAAGCTGTTTCTGCACTATCATGGCACAGTCCCTGTGATGCCGAAACCTCCTCATCCCGCCTAGAGCCTTCGAGCCCATGGGACAGCAAAGGGGTTGATGACGATTTCGAGGAGATTGACGAAACAGTGTATTGCCTTGATACTTTATACGGGCTTACAAAACCTGTATATGACTGCATAACACGAATTCGTCAGCTTTCAAATGTTAGCCCGTCCGAAGAAGAGCTAGTCACGCTACAAAGCAGAATACTTGCCTCCAACCCGGCCACGCTCAGTCACCCAACGAAAAGCACAACTTGTGAAGAGCTGCGACAGCATCATGCATGTGCATTCTACTATGCCTGCCTCATCCACTTTTACCGAACCCTCCGGCGGACGCCGCCATTACATGTTCAACACCTCGTTTCTCAAGGTCTCAAGCACCTCAACGCAATCCGATTTTTAGAAGCAGAGATGAATGTCGCAGGTCTTTTGTGGGCACCCTTCATCACTGCGTGCGAGGCAGAGACACCTGAGCTGCGTCGTTGCGCAATGTCCTTCTTCCGAAGTAGCAAGATTCGCGATGTAGGCAATGTCTGCTTGGCTGTTAATGTTGTACTAGAGGTATGGCGCCAACGAGATGCTATGCAATCAGACCAGGGCAATATTAGTTGGTTTACTGTAATGAAGGATCTAGGTATTGACATTCAATTTATTTGAGAATTTTAAAAAAAGAAAAAGACATAACGTACTTGATAAGCGAGTGAGACAGACAAGCGAGCTGGCCACCTCACCAGAATCATCGACGTATTTCATGACTATCCTCAACCACAACGCCTTAAATCAATTGAAACTACTCTGAATCCTCTTCCTCAGATGAGGAGATAACTACTTGACAGGTTCTTGCATTGTGTCCTGACTTCCCGCAGACGCCACAGACTCTCGGCCGCGTTTCCGTCCTCAGCTTTCGACCACTACTTCGCTGCGTTTCCTGCTTTATCTGCACTTCCACCTCATTCTGAGCCTGCAGACCTTGTCCCTCGGCTAGTGTCATGCTTCCTCCTTCGCGGAGACGTGTCCTTGGCGACGACGGCTAAGTAATGCATTCTCCTCTCGAAGTGTGTTGACTTCGGACTTTAAAAGCGCGATCTGGTGCATAATTCCAGTCGCACCCTTCGCAAACTGGTTAATGGCCTCAAGAATCGGTGTCGGAGAGCTTCCTTGATGGAGAGAGACTCCATTCTTAATGAATTCGGACTGTGAACTGGCCTCAACTAAATTATTAGGTGTTTTAGAGACCCAAGGTTGGGTGGTCTCAGGACCACCCATTTCGGGTGTTGGCTTTCGTAACTTCACATCCAACCGAGCAATAACACTTTCAGGATCCCAGGGATGAAGTCCTGCACCTCGAAAGCCTCCTTGAATATTGCTTTCTATCATAGAGCCCTGAAACGCGGCGAAAAACGCCGGAAAGAAGTCATCCTTAATAATGTGGGTGGGACCGGCTCTCATTCTCTTCTCAATTTGACGACCATACGCCTGTTTTAGTGGACCAAAGCACCCAACATCTAGACGCTGAAGTATGTGAGATGAATGGGGAGGCATACAGAGAGTAACAATATTATGATCCTTGCAGTAGAGCTCAAAGTCGGTCGAGTGATGACTTCCATGCCCATCGAGGATAAGAAGACGATATTGACCCGAGGTTCGAGGCTTAGTGTACTTCTCAAAGTGCTGAATCCATTCTAGGCCTCTCTCATTAGTGGTCCAGCCGTTTGGGGAGGTAGCGATTACCCAGTCGTGGGGGAGAGTGCTATTTAGGTACCAAGTTGAGAGATGATATTTACCGGAAACGATAATGTACGGAGGGACGGTCCAGCCCTTCGCGTTGACACCTTGAATGACTGTAACCCATTCTCGATCACCAGGTTGGACCAGTTTCGTATTAGAAAGTCTTTCGGCGCTTGTTACGACCATACCTGTTGAGATAATGCCCATCATAAACCCGGTCTCATCGAAGTTGAAAATATCTGAGTCCACGATGCCATACTTAGTGATTGTGTTCTTCACGAGCGAGAACCAATCACGAATCACATCCGGATCTTCGCATTGAGCCCTCTTATAGTCGTACCGACGAAAGAAACGCGTCCGGAGCTCTGGTTGTCGCTTGACAAAGTTTGCGGCCCAGCGCTTCCCGACCTGCGGCGTGTCGCGCTCCGCGAGCAGTCGATTGGCCATATGTTCCACCTCACACAACCGGGGAGGGAATGATCGAGAGTCTAAGTCAAGGACATGTTGAATAATCGTCTTCTCCTCTAGATTAGTCAATTTCCGGGAATTGGGTGTACTGTCGCGTCGAGACATGGTCCCGTTGAGACGCGTGCCTAGGGTGGCACGAGGGACTCTAAAGATCTTTGCTGCGGCTCTAGCGCTTAAATTAGGGTCTCGTTGGATTGCTTGGGCGGCAAGGAGTATCTGACTTTCTTTACAAGAATTATTCATCATGTTTGGTGGAGGAAGATGCGTTGGAAGTTGGTGGTCGCGATTTTCTGGAGAAGTGGCCAGCTCGCTTATCATCCACGTTATAAAATAATTAAATATAAAACTTAAAGTTTTTTAAAGTATATAAAGTAAAGAATTAAGCTAGCTTGTCAGGCGCGTGCAATTACGCTCGAGTACTGTGAATTTGTTTGTAAGCAAACAGATCACCACCTAACCTGCAACAATGACCTTATGGAACAAGGCCCCGAAACCGACTCTGTCCTCACGAAGCTTTTCGAGGATGATCGAAAAAGACCACTGCCCAAGGTGGAGGCTTTCGAGAACGCACCGGTAACTCTATATCAGATCATCGCCGCCCTCACCAAAGCAGGCGGATGTACCATCAATAATGTCGCAATCTCCTAGCGACCTTGCTCTTATTCAGAAAGACGTTCAGCCCTTTCTCGACGCTGACAAGCCTTGGGACGGAGACTTTTTCCCTCGTGAGACACGCCGGATTAATGGCTTAGCCGCCAAATCCAAAGTCTTCATGGAGAAGATTGTTTGTGACAAGACGCACCAGTCTGTGTGCACCAAGCTTCTCTCTAGCACATCAAAGAACTACCTAGGGCAGGAGCTCCAGGCCAGCACCAGCTACCCACAGCTCAACAACACATTCACTTTGCGATCGGGCCTGGCGCTGCTGCACAGCCCTTGCATCGTGACGATGTGATCCATCACCGTGTTTTGAAACAGATGCCTGCAGAGGATTACGAGATTGGGCAAGACACCGGTATTGGCTTTTTCGTGGGTGGCAGAAAGACGACCAAGGCAAATGGAGCATCGAAGGTTCATTCCTGGCTCGCATCTCTGGGATCATGACACACCGCCGAGTGAGGATCTCGCGGTCTACGCAGAACTGGATCCCGGCGACGCGTTCATCATGCTCTCATCGTGTTATCACGGCGGATCAGCGAACACGACCACAGACGAGGTACGATTTGTATACAGTTGTCTCATGACCAAAGGATTTCTCAGCCAGGTACGTCCTAACGCTCAGAAATACGAAAATTGAACAGCCGGGTTTGTGCTTTAGCGTTACCTCCTGCTGATCTGTGACTGGATGATGGAATAAAACCAGGATCTGAACAACGATCCCGAGAAGCTGAAAGAACTTTATTATGACCAGATGCTCAAACTCATCGATTACAACCTTAGTGCACCATTTCTCGGATGGATTAAAGATGGTCATCCTTTGGCGGCCCTGGGAAGACAACAGCCGGTGGGAGACATGTATTGATATACGGTACTGCCTGACCCAACACACTGGCTACGATAACGCCTTCATATTGACTCTGGGGAGAATCAATAGTGTTCATAAGTCGCTTCTCTTCCCGCTGCAACGTACTCAAAACATGATAGGCTCGTGGCAATGAAAACGAGGTATATGACAGGTCGGTTGGGGGAATGCGCTGAGGTTTTCCATGTATGCCAAGTCAGTTCCGCTGTTATATATCTGAAAATGCACATCAGCTTAAAAAAGAAACTCATGAGAAGTTATTTGCCAGGCGAGCTGGTAGATCACTTGGTGGTTCTCACCAGGCAGAATCGCCAGAATTCCGATAATGTTTTCGACGTCATCGCGATTGTATCGGCGAGCCTCGTGCGGAAAGGAGGCTTTTGCATCAGAAAATCCCTGTCTAGCACCCACGGATCTTCGAGATTGCATTGAGTGAGGGCATGCGATAACGCATCGAAAGGGCCAAGCGCAACTATCCACCACACTGTGCAACATTACAGTCATGTAAAGCAAGCATGCTCCAGATAACAAGGCTCGCGAGTCAGTACACCCAGTAAGGTACTGCCAGCGGGCGATCCAACCTGCCGGTATCTGCTGGTAAGGTCGCCCAAAGACGAGCAAGTTGGATGTGGGAAGTCGATATGTGTGGCTGCACTTGCGCGATCGACATAGGACTAGACGGGCCAGGGCGGGGCATGGCAGAGTACGACAATACTGATAGTATGTTCGTTATCTCCCCTGCCTGAAAAGGGCGGAAACGCGGAGGTGTCTGAATGCGGGAGTCAACCGCGATGCTAGCCCTAACGCGCATCAAACCCGCTCCTTTTTTACTTCGCCTGATTTTACTTGACTTGACTTGACTTGGCTTGACTTGGCCTCTCTCATACCGCCGATATTTCATTAGATCACTTCAGAAACCCAACTCGGCCATTCCTACCGTTCTTATTAAGATTCTGGAGGATAGTGGCAACACTCTGAGAGCGTGGTTACAGAGGAAAAACACGACAACCCTATCCATCCGCTCTTTTCGTTCCTCAATTGGGCGGAAGGCCACAGAGAGAGCCCCTTTGGGCTGGCTGCTCGCCCTCACTCCCTTGAAGCTCAATGCTTATCTTTTGGACCTTCAATTTCTCTTCGTCACCCCTCCGCAACAAAAGGCCATATAATTGAGTGCTACAAAGCTTTGGCCTGGAACTCTGATATGTATAAATTGATGCGCCTAAGTCTTAACTCTACTTCTGCCCATCTGGTATCACATTCCAAAACACGAGCCTAGCAAATAAGGAGTTCTCGAGACCGCAGCTTCTCTTGTAAAGATGGTCAACGGCTCCCGTGGAATCGGTGTTGGCATTGCACTGGAGCTGCAAGCCGGGGCGCCAATATTCTCATCACGTACCAGAGCGCCTCGTCGCAAGCCGAAGAGATCGCGACCAAGATACGCGCCTTGGGCAGCGAGGTGCTGATCATTCAAGCAGCCGGCACAGACAAAGAGGCGCCCGCGCGGATTGTGCGCGCCGCGGTGGACAAGTGGACACATATCGACATCATCATCAACAACGCGGGTGCAGGCGATGACTGCCTGCTCGAGGATCTGACATACGAGCTGTGGGATAAGATCCTCAATACCAACCTGCAGATGGCGACATTTCTGGTCAAGGAGAGTATGCCGCATCTCGGCAAGGCACCGCGTATCGTGAACATCTCGTCCGTGATGGCGCGCATGGGCGGCGCATGGGCTACAGCATATTGCGCGTCCAAGGCGGCGCTGGAGGGCGTCACCAAGGTGTGGGCCGCGGAGCTGGGCCAGAGCCACAATGCCACTGTCAATTGCGTGAACCCGGGGCCGGTAGGCACGGACATGTGGTTGCGTGATACCGGGGCTGATGTGCTGGCCGAGTGGGATGTCAAGATGAAGGAGACGCCGGCAGCACCTAGGATTGGAACCGTGGACGACATTGCACAGATTGTGGCTTTTCTAGCAAGCGAGGAGAGCAGATGGAGTACGGGCAGCACAGTTAACGCCAACGGCGGTTTGTGCTTTGTCTGACATGAATCAGTGGCAGGGGGCATTGTTGATACAGAGATAATCAGCAATTTGCAGCATCAGTTCTGTCTGACTTGTCTGAATTCAAATGTAAAATTTGCCAGGCCGTAGTTATCAGGTGTACTGCTGCAAATCAAATGCGATCTCTCTTCCTATTTTCATTTCATCAGTGCCTTATGTAGCGCCAGTGCTGGATAGATTGCTTCAGCCTGTAAATCCGAATCTATGACTCAAGAAACATGAGATTGGGTAGTACGTTGATCCAACATCGTTTGAGTTTGTTTTACTCGTCCTACCCTGGCTGCTTCCAAGGTAAACCAAAACATCTCTATATACCAGGACGTGATTGAATCTAGTGAGCCTTATGCCATACCTCTCCCGGAATAGCATCCTGATATTCCGTAACTTCATCTAGCGCCTCCTTGATGATCCGGACGCCCCTTTTCAATTCCTCATCTGTCATAGCCATGCTCACCCCCATTCTTAGCCGTCCGGCCAACGGATACAGCACCAATCCTTTACTCAAGGCCAATCCTCCAATCTTCCGTGCTGTCACTCTCGCTGCTGGGTTCTCTCGAATCGGCACGCTAAAATCTGCACCGCGGACCTGGATATCAGCAACGTGCGGATGGCTCCTCCAGTCCTTTGTCAGCTCCAGGAACTTTGCACCGAGCTGACTCGCGCGTTCTGCCATGTGCTCTTCATCCAGAACCTTCAATGCAGCCTCAGCAGCAGCAATGGCCATGGGCGTGTGTGCGAATGTTGAGCCACTCTCGTAGGGCCCCACGACTGACATCATGGCATGATCACCCAGGACGAATGAAGCGGGGTAGGCACCAGCAGTCATAGACTTTCCGATGACGAGCAGGTCAGGGCGCACGTCATTACCGAGGTGGTTGAAGGAGAAGAACTTCCCGGTCTTGCAAGCCCCCATGCGGACTTCGTCAGCGATGAATGGGATGTCGTATTTCTTACACAGGTTGTAGACGCCTCGTGAGAAAGAAACTTCTTCTTCGAACGTACTGGCGACGATAAAAGTCAGTGACATAGGATCTGGGAATCGGTAGGGTGGGATCGATGCACATACTTTCCTGTATTGCGGATGCATTCCAAAATGATGGCACCAACTGATGCATGATGCTCGCGAAGACATTCCTCCATATCCTCTATATGCCCATACCGCAGAACCCTACCGGTCGAGGGATTGATGTTTGTCTGTTGCTTGCTGTCAAGACCGTAGGCTGACAATTCATTGTCAGTGCAGCTTCTCCCTAACCGAAACATCTTGGTGACATACCTGTTCTTGCGGGGCTAGGGTCTTGCAAGTTCCACACTCCAGACGAGAGTCCGTGGTAGCTGCCCGAGACGGCAAAAATCAGCACCTTTTCAGGAGCAATGCCTTTCACATCATGCGCATAACGTCTGGCAATCTTGCAAGCCAGATCAGTTCCCTCTGAACCAGTGACCATCGCAGAGATATTGTCATATTTAAATCTCTTGCACATCATCTCGGCAAATACCGGCCAGCGCATGTTGTGTGTAGAGGTATTGATATTGTATGCTGGACACAGGCGTTAGCAAGGACTTCTGGAGAATTCAGAGGGCATAGCTCGCCCTTATTGAGCTGCTCCGTCATCGCTGCAATTATCTTCGGGTGGCAATGTCCCTGGTTACAAGAACTGAACATGCAGATGAAGTCGAGGTATTCTTTCCCGTCTACATCCTGTAGTTTTCTACATCTCAGCCCGGTCTCTCATTCTCCATCCATCGGCTAAAACAACTTGGGAAATTTGCTTGCACGAACCCATAATTTTGCACCTTTGCCTCGCTCGAAGAATCCAGGCAGGGGGGTAAAGCCTCCAACTGTGTACTGCGCCTCCAGGTCAAGCAGATGCTGTGTTGCTCTCGACAGGACAACCTGCTTGTGCACAACCTCTGCAGGCAGCAGTCCGTCCGGGGGCGCAGTGGTCGCATTGGACAAATTGATATCGGCAGTGGTAGCTGATGGCATTGTGGCGAATGCTCCGGCAATAAGATTGATTGTGAAAATGACGCAGCCGGATCAGATTGCAGAGGCCCCAGGGAGAATGTGCGGCGCGTGCTATAATTTATATCGCTCGTGGAGACGCGTTCTCTCTTTCGAGATTGGTCCATCGCTCCAGCTGACACGAACAAACCCCGGGCATGGATCTCTGCCAGATGGACGTGCAAGGCATGTCATATACGCTAGGTAGGGTGGGTTTTCTTGTCCCCTGATAATCTCGCTCCTCGCTGCTTCTAGAGGTGAAGGCCCATAGTCGAGATGAAGGAAAAGGGAAAGTGACACAAGGGGAAACTGACAGCGATAAGCGGCGATAAGGTACATGTAATTCAGGACCCTAACCTAGCACGCACTAGAGCACTAGGGTAGAATAGGGCTACCTTCAATAAGATACGGTACATTACCTTAGGTATGTAGGTACCCGTTTAACCTCGCAAAAGAAGGCACGTTAAGGCACGTTAAGGCACGATAAGGCACGTGAGATCTACCTTATGTAAGTGCGTCTGTGGCTTCGGTAGCTTCACCAAGGCAACGTCCCTTACCCAGGTACATGTACCTGTCGTACGCGTGCCCCCTTAGCTTGGCTGTGCTGTGCTGCTCTGTTCTGCCATGAGATCACGGTCAGGGTCAGGTAAGGTAAGGGACCCCGAGGGTAGTTTTAGCTGCGTACCTTGTGACGGCTATTATCGACTACAGTCACTTGACCTTCCTCTCAAACGCCAACCCGGACACAGAAGGCGAACCTACAGCCCGTACCCTGCCCTCGTCCCATTGTTGTGCATATACGAGTACAGAGTAGTAGTCATGCCGTCTGCCTTACTACTGTGGTATTCTAGCACTGGACTTGTACCGTTCTGCCTGTTGTGATATGAGGCTCAACCGACTATTATAACGTCGATGAAAGTCTTATGGAATCATTCCGCGTGCTTGGAAATCGTGAGGAAGCTTCTAGTATGTTACTTTGATGTATATATGTGCCTCTACTTCTTCAAGAAGCAGAGAAACAAGTTAAAATATAAGCTTCCACTGCTACAATTCGCAACTAGAGTGTCGTCGCTGCATCAAGGGATACTGTCGATATGCTTCACGGATATAGTTAGAGGGAGTACATAGAACATTGAGCAGCGTAGAGGCGTGGTAAAAGGGGTCGATATCAGGAATGATGGCGGGCGCCAATGGCGGCCATCACCATCGTCGTCAGGTTATCTACTAGGGTGTTTCCGCCTCTTGAGAATATTGTAGGGATAGAGATAGACGATTGGTGATACTATCTGTAAGCCCATATTCGGTGTTTAAAGCTTTGTCGCCACGACCCACCTTCCAACTGTCTTTTCTCTCTTGGAATTTCCGTGCTCAGGTATTATATTGTGGTGGAGCTAATTGGGCTTAGTGGCAGGAGGGCGAGGTATTTGGCTTTGAACAACAGTTTTCCTTTATCACACAAGGCAGGCAGGTAGGCAACAACAACGACATCGATTGCAGCTTTCAGTACATGAATTTCCTCGTTCTCAAGCCGCCGTGTAGGCACCCCGGATAGGCACTTACAGGTATCTACAGCGCCACTCAGGGCAAGCACTTGCAGGCTCACAGGATAGGTGCTTGCAGCACTCAGGACAGGCATTCATAGGCGTACTCAGGACCGCCATGCATACTGAAGGTGCCTGTACAATAGTACAGCCCGGTTGCTCCTGCGCTCTCCCACCCCGTTGGCTCTGTCGAGACAACACACGGTTATTCCTTCACAATATCTAGATGGCAAAGGGTTGGATGAATTCCACACGATTACTCTACAAAAATCAACCAATCAACTGCGTCCCATCCACCGACGCAAGAGAGATCTCATCTCCTTCTATCATTCCTTCAATGTGTCCGACGTTGTGGCCTGTTCTCTATTCGCCCACAATCTAGGGAGACCGGCCACCAACACAGCACAACCAACGTCATCCTATGATTTTTCTTCCTACGGTCCTCAACACTATTCTCCAACCGCGTGCAGCGTCGGCAATTCGGATTTCAATGGGCTTTGAGAGAGGCGCGAGGGGTCCAGCACGTTTTCAACTGAACTAATTACAAGGATCCGTGGTTGTGTTCGCGGGTCGACGATGTTGTGTACGTGGGAATCGAGGCTGCCCTGCCACCCTGCCTAACATTTTTGTGCGTGTGGTTCGAACTCGGAGGGGCCGTCCTTGTGCTTTTGGAGCAGCGCTCCTAATGCAACCTCAGCGTCCGGAATGTCCAAGTCGCTATAAGACATTCCCCGATTAGCAGTCCCGAGAAGATCCTCGAATTCGCCGTGATCGAAAATGTATCCCAGCTCATAGGCCTCGTTGCTCACTCTCTACTAGTAGAGAAAAGACAAAACTTGTCAAGCATATATCCAAAACTGGGTTTGAGTAATAGCTTTAGCCTCTTGCTTTCCTGTAAATACATACTGGCCGTTGAGAGGAAGTCCTACGTCGTTTTTGCTGATAAGGAGGCTCTCCTATGCGATGATAGCTATTCCCTGGTCTTCCTCTCCTTGGGGTATGAGACTCGGACTGCTGGTACGCACTGCCGCGGCAGAGTGGGCCAGTACTGGTGATGGACGACATCGAATAGTTGGCTGCGCGTCCTCTTCGTGAGGCTTGACAGCTGGGTCACAGTCGGTTAATATTTTGGCTGAACGATGTGATGCTTCGTTTTAGAATAGAAACTAGTCATGGGTAGAGTTTAAATGGCGCGATATTGAATGCATCGCAGTGATGTTCGACCCTTATATTCCCGGAGTCTGAGCAATCAAGTTGAGACCTACGAAAGATCATTTGTCAAGTTGTCCTGCCTGTCTTCTCATTCACCATTCTAGCCGTTCGTCAACGCTCACCTCGGCCATCAGCATATTTTCATCGCCGGCATTCCTTCCAACCTCCAGAAGATAGACGCCTTTCTCTGTAATCCATCTTCCATCCCAGTGCGCCAGGCCCCTCTTCTCGAGACCCAGAGTCACTGTACGCATTTCGCCCGCGGCCAAGGTGCCTGTCTTCTCAAACGATCTGAGTTCCCGGACCCCAGCACCACCGAGGAGGGATGAGTACAGCTGAACAACCTCCTGGCCGGCCGTCTTTCCGGTATTGCTGACTTCTGCAGTAAGATCCCATCCTGAGGTTGTCTCCGACGTCTCAAGGTTGGAGATGTTGAAAGTCGAGTATCCAAGGCCATAGCCGAACCAGTATCTCGGTTTGACCCCTTCATGAAGATACCAGCGATATCCGACAAGTGTCTCTTCGGCATAGTCGACTTGTCCATCTACCCCAGGCCACGTGTGCTTAAACCTCTGGAAATCCATATCGCTGTATTTGAATGGCCAGCTGATGGGAAGTCGACCTGAGGGATTGACCCTACCAATGAGAACATCGCAGAGAGCGTTACCAGCCTCCTGACCACCATACCATGCTTGGACGATGGTGCTGGCCTCAGTTTCCCAATCCATCTCTACGGGTGATCCTGACTGATTGACAATGACCACATTTTCAGGATGGGAGACAGACCTGAGGAGGGTTTGCACAAGCGCGTCTTGTTTCCCGGGGAGGGACATTGTGGTACGATCGTGGCCTTCGCCCTCCCAATCCTCATTTAAGCCAAGGACGAGAATTGTGATATCGCTCCTTTGGGCAAGAGCAAGAGCATCTGCAATCGGATTCTCTGGGAGCTGCTCGAGGAAACCAAACCGTACGCTAGGTTGAATGCCATAGACATAGTTGGCGTCGGATTGATTGGAATCTGGCTTCACAGAGAGTTTGGAAGACGAGTCGATGCGGACCTCGTATGAACGGCCAGCAGTCATATACAGCTTCCCTCGCTTCTCCGCGCTGCCAAAACAATAAAATGTTTCGGCAGGACCAAACCAATCATAGTTGTCAATGAGAAGATCATTGTTCACATAGAGTCGAGCATTGCCAACACTCGCTATACCGAAATCGTGCATTCCAGAAGACTTTGGCGTAACCGTAGTTGAAAGACGAAAGGAATATGGATCTCCTTTCTCGGACAGCCCAGCGGGTGCGGTGTCAGAAAGATCGATATTAGAACTGTTGCGGTACTGAGTTTCCAGAATTGGCCCGGAAAAGTCTGTCGATGCAAAAAAGTCGAGGCGGAGCATGTGCTTTTGTTGCATTCCGGGGAGCCGCCGCGGAGAATGCCATTGCTCATTAGATGCTAAAGGAAGGTACTTGTAGCTAAATGCACCGGGGGAATGCTCGACATCGACTTTAATATCCAAACTTGCCGTTATAGCTTTGAATGCCTCCATAGGATGGGTCTGATAGTGTTGATTCAGGTTCGATGAGCCACCGCCACTTGGTGTTCCATGGAAAGAGTTGGGACCAATAAATGCGACTCTCTTGCCATGAATTTTATCGGGAGTCAGTGGCAGCATCTCCTTCGAATTCTTCAGGAGAACTATCCCATCAGCTGCCACCGACCGCAATAATTGCTGATCAAGGTCGGTGTACGAAGACGTCTCCGTTCTATTGCGAGATTCCACGACCTCAGTTGCAGACAGGCCGAGCAAATTCTTCCCTCTTAACAGTCGCAGCACCCGAGAGCATGAGGCATCGATTGCCTTAAGAATTTCTTCGTCTGGTGCCTTCTGCAGATGAGCAAGAAGGTTGGCCCCACGGTGCGCAGCAGGTCCTGGCATTTCCAGGTCAAGCCCAGCCAGCAGACTCTCTGCCATAGAATTTGTTCCTCCCCAATCACTCATGACTACCCCATCAAAACCCCATTCGTTTCGAAGAGTTTCCGTAAGAAGTTTGCGGTTCATGTCCATGTGGAGACCATTTACGCAGTTGTAGGCGGTCATAACGCAAGTTGGTGGATTTGCTGACTTGACAGTCATTTCAAATGGACGCAGATATATCTCTCTCAGGGTCCGCTCGCTAGCGTTCACGTTAATAATGAAACGTCCTTCTTCTTGTTCGTTGGCGACACTAGGGCATTGCATAAGTCAGTAGCTTCCAGGGCTTCAAGGCTTAAACGAGCATGTCTCACAAATGCTTCACCGTTGCACCAACTTCTCCCGATTCCTGAAGGCCGCTAATGTATTCGACTGCCAGCTTACCGCTAAGCAAGGGGTCTTCACTGAATGATTCGAAGTTTCTTCCGCCTAGTGGGTTGCGAGCGCAGCATATCGTAGGCGCCAGAAGCACATGGGCGGCTTTTGTCTTTGCCTCTTCGCACAACAGTCTGCCAATAGCCCTCACAGCCTTGGTGGACCAGGTTGCAGCTTGAGCGACGGGAGCTGGAAGTAAGGCCGACGTTGGACCATCGACGGTGGACTTGCCCCTTGCACCACAAGGGCCATCCGTCGTCTTTGACTGGCCTTAGAAATGATCTCTCACTCATGGTACGGTTTTGGCTTCTTACCTTCAGCGATCCTATTCCTAGTCTTGCAACCTCTTGGGTCTGCCACCCATCAGCCCCTGCCAGCAGACTTACCTTCTCCTGCAGCGACAGCTGTGAGAGTAAGTATCCAACATCGCAGGCGACCATGGTTGATCCCGGGTCTGAACAGTACGGTTGAGGACGAGGTTCGAAGAGTGCGGCCGCTAGGACGAGGCAGACGTCAATGGGGATGGTAGTATATAGATCAATCCTGAATGTCTTTTATCTTCAACTTTTATTATTCTGGAGGACTAGACCAGGGGCTAGGACATGTCGCCTATTCTTCCTTGGTCCGGACCCAGGCAAACACGGAGTGCCACATGCTGAAAAACTGTGATCGCCACCCGGAAGCATCCCGCATTCGCTCTTTCCTAGTAACTAGGTAGTAAAGCGTATGACTCTTTATCGAGGATTTTACCGTAGTTTCCCCGCCTTACGTAGCCTAGTAGTTTTTCCAAATCGGGGAGAGAATTCGCTGATGCATGCCTATCTCGTAGACGGCTGTCTGTTGTTTTGCCCGGAGACTGACCATGCCCGCGGGAGTGGAGTTAGCGTTAGCTGGGGATTCTATAAATGAATCCAAGAGAGCCACAAGGATTTGAATGTCTAACATTGTTACTCCATTATTTTCTGTCTCTTCCTGGCTCAGGCCAACCCAGCTATTACCATGGCTCACGACGGTGGGAAGGGGAGGTTTATCCTCTTCACATGTGCCTTCATAGCAATCATGAACTCTACTACTCTGGG